ACATCCTTTATAATGCATCCAAATCGAAAGAATATAAACGAGTTGAGATATGGGGAAAATGAGCGAAAACAAAAAAAAACTTTCAATTTTGTTGAGAAGTTAAGTTGAAGCTTTAAATTTACCTCTTTCGAAATAATTATTGCGAAGCCTAAAGAATGAGCATCTTCAACGTCTTTAGTATTTTCTACAAATTGCAACAATAAATGAAGATTGTCTCTCTGTCTCTTCTTATCTTAGCTCCCATTTAACACTGACGCTAAATATTTACAAGTGGTGTGGCATGTATTAAAAAAACCTTGAATTAAACCAGATATTATACCTTGAATATGCTCCTATTTAATAATCGCTAATTCTTGTCTTTTCTTTTTAAGTGATTATGTGTTAGTTGGTCGATCAGAACTATTGTCGCAACCAAAGTTTAGATATAACATATTATAGAATAATCTCTGTTGAAATCTGCAAGTTATTAACAGTAATAAGAGTAATAGGCTCGCGAGAAAATTCTTGCGTATTTTAATACCTAAAGCTAGTTGTACTCATCAGGCCAAGCCGAACAGGTAGAATGCTTTGCATAGTATTCTTTGTTGCATACCCACCGCGATACATAAGACCCTTCCACTCTCATTTTCTTTAACTGCAGAGTGAATTATGGCCAGTGAATAAAGTGCATTTGGTTTGAGTTCCCGAAAGGAACCAACGCAACGGTTGTTTGTACAAACTCATCTCAGACGTTAGGAAGTGAAGTTGTAAATGCATGGATCTGTCAAAGTTAGTTTGCAAATCTCTTTCGAGTTGCTTCAGTCCCACAGAGGATCGTCAATCTGGACGATAATGACATTTTGACGTACACGTTGCAAAATAACCCATATTTAAAATCTCTACGATGTCTTATGATGCGGAATAGGTTCACTGCCCGAAAGATGCCAGAAAGTGGCAAATGCGTAACCAGTTTTTTATAATAAAGCCTCAAAACCTGAGAAAAACGTCAAAAGAACCCAAATTATATGCCAAATGTGTATGCGTTTAATACGCAAATTCGAAATGGCTTGAGATATCTTGGTTAATGGCAGTTTAATATTTTAACATCCCCAAAAAAAATTGCATCGTACCGAACCGTAACATGAAATTAGATATTCTGACTAGCGGTAAAAAATTATGTCGCATAATCTTTGCGATGTCCTACTATCCGTTCAGACATCACGCGCGAAACTAAAAACCCAGGTCTGTAAGCAAACGAATGGGTTTACCTAACCGTTCATCAAGATATTGCCTTTCTATCTTTTATTTCAATTAAAACCGCTTGACCTCCTCGACCAGCTTCAGATTAGAAATTGGGTACCTTTACAAAATTTTAGATAATTAATTTATCAGCCATTAAGCTCAACTCACGTCTACGCTCTAGAAATATGCGTTAGAAGCAGTTTGAAACCTCAATACGATAATAGCTGCAAAGCTGCAAGAAGAATACCAGAATAAGGGGAGTAATTAGGAAGGGCGAAGAAGAGAATTATATAAATGCTAATAATTATAAATTGCGGTTTACTTTTAAGCTGAAGCTGTGCTTTACAGAAATAGATTTGATCATATTTGCAATGTAACATAACAACGTGCTTGCGTCTTTGAAAACTGTCTTCTTCCCTGAAAAATAACATGACACAGTCGAATATCATTTGAATATCAACAATGAGAATTTTTTAAAGATATGTATTTGTTTTAATAAGATGAAAATAGTAGTAGTGGATAAGTTCCCGTTCAAATGAAGTTCTCATCTCACACATATAGACCAAGTTAGTCCATTTCATTCATTGTTGTCTATTTTTGTTGTGTATAAAAAGTATAAAAAGTAAAATGTCTTTCCTTTGTTTTCTTCTATTCGAGGCTGCTTCAATAAATTGCTTACGCCTCTCTGATACAATTTGACCAGAATGCACTTCATTTTCCATCAAGCGAAATCGACTAAAAAGACAAAAAAAAAAAATTTCGAAGACCAGCGATTCAATACTCAGTAAAGTGCTTCCAGGAAAAAAAAAAAAAAAAAACAAAATTTTTCTATTCATAAGCTACCGAAAAACCAACACCAACACCAATACAACCCGTAAAAAGAAAAAATAAACTGACGAGTTGTCCATTGTGTATGAGTACCTCGAACAATTTAACAAAATTTGGTCTTCACTTATGTTATGAATGCGTATTCAACGCAAACATGTCTAGGCAGACATATATACATATACGTATACATATGCATTTAGTTCTTACTTGAATGGCTATGCCAGTGTCATCTTTTGTGTCTAGGGTATTTTTCACTAACTCCCGTTTTACATCGATTACGAAGACTGAAACAGCACTCAGCGCACATACACATGCATTACATGCATTACAACATTCTAGGTTCTTATTTTCCTCGTTTCCATGTATATACACTATCTACAGTTTTTTTTTTTAAGGTTTGCGTTTTGAAAAAGTTAAAAATTGCTTTAGCTTGTTTTGATAGCAGGATGTTTTCACTCATACAGCTAACCGTTTAAATATATATATATATATATAAAATATATACATATATATATTGTAAGAGCACGTGTACATAGGATTGTGTGTAAATGTATTTAGTGTTCACTACGTAAATTGGTCTAAAGTTAATTGAAGTTTTTCGTTCATGTAGTTGGTTATTAAATAAGAAAGAACAATTAAGAGCTTAGTTTCCCAACAACAATAACTGTCGACTTTCTAAACGATGTGTGGCTTCCCTCCTCCTCCTCTACGTTTCACATTCTTTTATGCTTCCCGTTCAACGACAACTTGTGTGTGCAAGACTTGTTTAAGCGAATAAAAGTTAAAAAGTAGAGTCATTTTTACATATCAATAAAAGGTCGAATTAGCCTTCGAGACATTGATATTTTATTATTACTTTCAAGAATTTTCGGCTACATGTTCATGAAATTGAAGTGAATTTTTTGATTTTAATAAATTTTTTCCCCTTTTTTTCTGTTTTGTAAATGCATTATTTTCAATTCAACTATTTCAACTAAATGCTCTCTTTCGCATTCCCCCAGTGCGGATATGAACATAATTCTTAAACCCGTAAGCGCTGAGAATAGCATTTTTTTTAATATTTTGGAGTTCGAGAGAGTTCGGTCCGTTTTTTTTTTTTTTTTTTTTGTGGTCAAAAGTGCATTTATTTCCGGAGAAAATGAATGAAGGCGATAATATTGTCGATCGCTAATATTTCCTATCTATCAAGCAGTTTTCGAGTTACACCTCGAAAATTTGTCTCTTCTTTTGAGACTATCGTCAAAACAATTTATATTTGTTTATCATCATAAGAATCGAAATCTACCGCTCGAGCAAGTAATAAGTCATCTGTTGGGAGTGGCAAATAAGGAATGTCTGCTGATAACAATTGGTAGGGTACTGCAGATTAAAGCCGCGCATATTTTCTAAGTTTTGTTATATGGCACCGAATTGCTTTGTGCTAAAAACTTACGACGGCATGATTTTGAGCCCGTCTTTTGTCGCAATTGCTTCAATCATTGTTGGTGGCACCGCTTAGTTATAGAAAATCGGAACCTCTTGCACACAGATTGGTCTCGCCAACGAGCCAAAGACTACGCCTACTGTAAAGCGCGTAAAATCTGAAAATACTTCTTATTCTCCAAGGAAAAATTTGCCGATTTCTGTTCATCACTCATAAATTATGAAAGATAGAAGGGCGAATAGTCCAAATCAATCAAAGGGTACGCCCCGTGTAAAGCGCAAAGTGAAAACACTTCGAATTCTCTAAGCAAAAATTTTTAGGCTTCATCTCGTTACTTATAAATTGCGAGATTAGAAAACTGAAATTTCCTAAATTTATTTTATAGAGAATCCTTCTATTCATGTTCAAAAATCATAATAAACACAAGTCGGCCGCGCCCGCACGAAGTTAAAAACGATCAAATTTTCATATTTTTCACTTTATTCTAAATAAAATCTGTTTCCCTTGAAAGACCTTAATACTCATATAGTAGTAATAGGTTGCAATACTAATTTTATTCTGTCACAACGGAATGAGATGAGGACATTGCTGAGATAAAATGAAAGGGTGGATGCACAAGATTTGGCGCCAACATAATGCAATCTTTCTACTTATTATGTCCTTTTTTAGTTTAACTGTAAAACACACCCCGGTTTTTATTTCCGCATTAGAAAAATTTCGTTGTAATAGATTTGTCATTGAAACGCCCACCTTGTGGCACCCTCTGTCGAGCACCCACATCGAAGCAAACCATGTCGTAGCAAATTGCTTAATGACTAGCATGAAACCAAATCTTTCCATACTAACATAGTTTTGGTACACATTATGATGAAAGCGTGCAACTTATTTGCTTGGGTGTTTAATTACTTAATGCATTGTTTCTTAAAATTCATAATTACATCATTGCGATTCCAGCCAGCTCTAAAAATTCGATTAAACAAAAACGAATTAAAATTTATTTTTCTTCACGTAATTAAGGGAATAGCCCAACAAGTCGTGTCAAAATAAATAATTATTGATGATGTCATAAAACACATTGAAAATTCAACAAGACTCAGAATTTTAGAGCCCCTCCAAATTGTTTTTGCTTGCATGAAGAAAAAGTCTCGTGCTAAAGTAATCCGAACTGAAGATGACTTGAAAAGCTTACAAGATGGTAAAGTTTTTTCTTACTGTTATCAGATAACTTACATCATAATGGGATGCAGGCTTATGCATACGTATGAATTTATCGTATGCTGAAAATCAAGAACAATTAAAATAAGTTTGATGACAACAACTAAAGAGGAAAAAATAATAATAATAATAATACAAATAATCAAGCAAACGAACACAACTGAAATGCATTGAATGAGTCAAATTCAAAAGCTTTAGCAAATGTCAGATTAAAGATAACCTTATTGGCAAAACTATTATATTAGGTATTAGGAAATACACTAAAGAAAGCTTATCAAATCTCCTACTAAATAAATAATAAATTAAATGTATAAAAATTGTAATTTTAAAAATATCATAAATTAACCGAATCAGTTTCCAAACAGATTTCTTAGTGTAAACATTGATTTTTGGTGAATCTCTTGAAAATGGGTTATGGCTTTAGGATAACCTTAACGATAGTTTTTTTAGTTAAGGTAATTTTAGAAAAGTGCAAACATTTGAACAGATTTAGACAGATATATAAAAAATGCGATTCTTTTGGAATTTTTCTAGCTATTAAGCTTTACGGAAGGCTTCTATCGTCATCCAGATGCAGAGATGGTACCTAGCAACGATAATGATGGCGTTAATTTTCATGAGCAAATGATTTTGGAAGCTGCCGTTAGACGAGGAATGGATCCGGAAGCAGTTTTAACTGTTCTGCGTACTGGACAACCTGTGACTAAAAAACAAACGGATCCGAATGGCACCACAAAGACAACGACTTACTCTCTTGGTCCTGACGGCACTATAAACAGCAAAACTCATATACAGTATGTATCGAGACACCGCGCCCGACCTATGCCTATTCCTTCCCACACTAACCCGTGGCTACAAAACCCAAGAGCGCATCCGCCGGGTAGAACCCATGTTCAGACATTCATAGGACCTAATGGTGAAAGGGGTATTGTAAGAAGTTGGTCTTCTGGGCCGGAACCAATACCGGAACCGGAGCCAGAAGTACCTGAAACACCTACACACCCGGAAGAAAACTACTGGCCTAATTTCAATTTTGGCCCCGAAACTAAACCTTGGGAGCCTACTCCTGAAGAGGAAGATCCTGAATGGAAAATTTTTGACGATGATTTTGAAGAGCAGACCACAACCCCAAACCAAGTTAAACCTACAACCATGAAAACTTGGAGTTGGCCTGATTTAAAGCATATGCCACGCACAACTACACCAAGTAGCACAACAACCACAACATCAACAACAACAACAACGACATCAACTACGACATCGAAACCAAAAATTGAGAAAACTACTCCGAAGTTACCAAGCTTAGAGGAGTTTTTAGAACAACAATATGGTTCGAAAGCAACCACCACATCTACAGCGACCCCAGCAGAACCTCTAACCACCACATCAAAAAATAAGGAAGAAGAAGAGACGGAAGAAACTACACCACAACCAACGACCGCTGATCCCATAACTACTACTTGCAAACCAGAAACAGAAGATGATGGAAAAGAGAAGTTTGGAAGCGAAAAACCTCCCAAGAATCCTACAACATCTGAGAGTGTTACGCCAGCGTTCGCAAAAGATAATCCGGAAACCACGACCGAAAAGCCCGTACAAAACATAAATGTCAACGATCTCCCCGTCAATGAAATTCTTTTCAATGGTCAGCCTATAGACGAAAGCTTTCTTAAGGCATTACCGCCAGAGTTAAGACCCCAACCATTACCTGGACGAACCGTATCAATTGAATATATTCCGCAGACTCTAAGATCAGCACTGCAAACCGATCCTGAACTATTGATGAAACTAAAAAGAGCCGGAATTAATCCTGAAGGTGTAATTCACGTTGAAGGTAATATTATAACCAATATGGCAATTCAACCAACGGGTCGGGCAATAGTCACCACAAGCAGATTACGTCCTGATCCTCCCTATAGAGATACACATACCTACGACTTTTTTGTACCGTCGTTATCTCGACCTTACATTTATTCTCGCCTACAACCCACTTATTTAACACGACCAAATAGTATCGAACAATTTTTAACTAAATTCGATTTATCTAAATCCTTAATTTACGCTAACAGCGGTAAAATGGTAAAAAAATACATAGATGATGAGGGTTGTGTACTAACGGCAACTTTTGCTTTAAGCCAGCCAAGGGTATTTGATGGCTATAATCCAGGGCCTTACGATGAAGCGATTCCTAAGGAGCCGATTAAATAAATTGACTTCCAAAAGTTTCTTCTTGAAAAAATGTGATAAACGAAACCTAAAACGAAAGCATTTGTTAATTGCAGAAAAGAATCAAAATTTTGGCAATAAAACAACAATAAAAATCTTTTTTATTTTTAAAGAGAGAATGTTTAAATGAAAAACAAGTAAGAAAAATGAATCCATCATATTATACAAATGACCTTGAAGCGACGCCTTTTTAGGCGGTATGGTGTATTTTTTCTCTGCAATATTATGTAATTGTAAACACATGATTCAAACTTGATCTGGGTTAAGAGTGTAAGTAAGCCAACTCTTTTCTTGTCAGATATGCTCAACCGCTGAGGGAATATCCCCGATACGTGGAACACGTGGTGGTCAGTAGAAAATGGGGAAAGACGCGATGACCGCAGTCCAGTGGGTGTATGCCAAATCGATAAGTTCTAAATCTATACCGACTGTGCATCCACTATAGCTACGATCCAAAGAAGCTTTACCACATTTTACCTCTTTACTCACCGAGCATTCACTGTCGGTATATGCATACACCAATGATAATTAAATATGGTTTTCCGCATTGGGAATTAAGCCAGGGTATGCCGCGCTTTTAATTACTTGGCTATCGTATAAGCCATTTGAAATTTTTTGCAGCCTAATCAAAGATTGGAAGGGTTTTTATATCATTTTTTCTTTTTTGGACAAGAAAATCCTCTCCACGATAGCTCTCCTTCCAGAACTACGGGGAAAATTTCCTTTCAAGCAATTAAGAGGAAGCTAATTACAGGACGCATTCCCCAGGCTTTGCACTGAAAATTGTCAAGTTCCACCCATTGTTGAAGCAAGCATTCATTCATTTATTATTTTCAAATCGAAATCCGACTATTACGGAAATTTAGCGAATTGGCAGAGAGTTAAGGCAAGATTGCATATATAGCGATAGAAAATGCATATTTAGGACAACTTTTAAATAGTAAACTTAGCCTAATGAATGTGTTTCTAGGAGTTCCGAGAAAAAGAGTATATATGGTAAGCACACGATCATTTTCAACTGACAAAAGGAGTTAAAGAAATTGAACTTATTTAGGATATAATGCATAGCATAAATATATGTGCAAAAACCAAAAAAGGGAAGAGATTATATACACAAAAATTGGAAAAGTTTTGTCAGATGTCTGTCTGTCCATGATACATTCGGAATATTCGAGGTACATAAAATATTTATATATAGATTTTCAATACATTTTCCAGAGCTCGAAATTAAAATCGCTTGAGCAAACTCGAAAAAACTAAACTTAAGCTAAACTTAAGAACTTACCGTAGTTTCCTTTGGATTTCTGCAATAGAATTAAAAATTTTGCAAAAACAAATCGTAATGCATTTATTCAAGCAAAATACTACGCAAATATATTCGAATGATTCTAATTATAAAATATATCTTTTTTTTTTGTGTTTTTTTTTTTTTTTTTTCAATTATATATAAAACATTAATAAGTGATAATATAATGCGTAATAATATTACTAAAGCACTAAGAGATAAAAAGCAAAGAAAAAGCAGCAAATGTATGATAATAATGCATTCATTACAAATGAGTTTATTAAAAACTTGTCTTTCTTTATAGTAGAAATAATTAATAATTAATTGAAAAATTTAAAGAAAAACAAAAATAATGTAAAAAAAAACAAAAAAAAAAAAAAACGAGATCTAAGCTTAAAATATAAAAAGAAAAAAAATTGTAAATATTTAAAAAATATGTTTACGCAGCTTTGGATCGATTTTCTTCAGATATTGATGAAGTAACCTTTCTCGGTTTATTGCAGTTTGCCGATATAATATACTTTTAGTTGTTCTGATTATACAAATTTCTGTAGCGCAGTTTTAGTCGTTTATTTGGTTTTTTTTTTTTTAAAAGACAAGCAGCTCATAAACAGAAGCAAAGTTTTACAAAGCCAGGCATTTCATAGAAAAAAGTAAACTAGATTAGTTAAAATTATTTTGGTTTTTATAAAAAAAAAAAGAAGTACATTTTTGTAAAAGAATTTTCTTTCAAAACAAAATATAATTCAAAAAGCATTATTTAATTAAAAAAATTTACTAAAAGCATTGCCTATTTTTACGCATAAGCATAAAAATTTTTTTTTAATAAGACTATACCTAATAAACGCAAAAAACAATTAATAAAAAATGAATAAAAATTTGGAAAAATACGAATATAAAAAAATTCAAGTTGTGTTTCGAAAAGTGCTTATCGATCGAAAGTAATTTCCTTTCAAAAATTTGATTTTTTTCTTTCTTTATTTCTATTCTTATACCCTACACCCCCTTGTTGTGCGGATATATGCAACACACAGAAGGACTAGGAAGAGATCTACTTCTTACTATATGAATCGATATAAGGTTCTCTGTCTCTCTGTCTCTCTACCCATCTGTTACTCTTGTTTTCAACCTAAAGATCGCAATTTTTGAAATGTTTTAATAAAATTCGGTACACTCACGTATTTTTTGCCAAGGACAAACGCAGTGTAAAATGGTTCGAATCGGAACACTTTTTGGTACACATTTCCTACATAATGTCTTATACTGGCAGGGCGTTATATGAAATACTGCAGGGTAGTATAGCGTATTTAATGACGGGCTGTGATATCTTTGCTTACAAGCTAAGGTTAGTTTCGTTACTCACCAAATTATCAAAGCGCAAAGCCTCTTCATCACTTAAGCCCATGCTGCGCGTCAACTGCAAATATGTAGACGTAATCGGTTTTAAATGTTCAAAATCTAACGGTGGTAACATTGAAGTTGAACGTATTTGCGGAATGCGTAAACTTGTTGTTATTGTGGATTTTGGCGGTGTTATAGCTTCTGTTTTCACTGATGTAGGTGTTGACGTCGTAGGCATAGAAGCAGTTTTCGGCGCTTTTGGAGTTTCAAGGGCAGAGCTGAAAACAGATAAAGTTTGTTTGGAGAGATTAATTGCACAAGCCTGAGATAGAGTGTTAGCAGAAGAAGAAGAAGAAGAAGTACTAAAGCAAGTAGAAACAGTATTTCTATTTATAACCGGTACTTTTAGAGGCAACTCTAGAGCTTTTTTCAATAATAAGCTTTCAGGGGAATTTTTAAAACGTTTGGGATTAATAATGGTAACATTATCAGTTTCATCATCTGATGAAGACGTAATTGAACTTTCTAAAGGCTTTTGGACAGGTTTTTTTTGCGATTGCTTTGCTAAGCTAGCAGTTTGTAGCGGTTTTTTCTCAAAACTTATATTTGGAATTTGTGGAACGGACATTTGCAAGTTGCCTTCATATAGTCGTCTCATAAAATCATAGTAACGCATTAAATTTTCACGTGATTTCAAAGTATGAAAATCAAAGCTCAACCCATACGGAGAATCAGCTAAATTGGAACTTTCTGGTATGGGTGGCGTAAAAGGACGTTGCAAATACGGATTTACACGTATTTTTGGCAAACGAGTTCCCGGACCAGAAATCGGAGGACTTGATTTACGTCTATATAAATCTTCTGAATGCTTTTTAGTCTCTAGAGTTGCAATAGTTGGCTTTAAACTATTATCGGGACTAGAATATCTTCGCCGCTTCGCTGCGGAGATTGATATCCCACTAACTGAAGTGAACTTTGTTGAGATTTTTGTGGTGGGACCCGCTTCCAAAGAGCTTTCAGTATGCGATGAGTAATTCAATGCTTCAACTTCTGAAGAGCTTTCGTTCTGTGGCACTTCTGCTCTACAAGTCGCTGGAGAAGAAGGCCTTAAATTTTTTTTGCACTCAGGGCAAATGGATAAGAAACGAGTTACTGCTTCCCGCGGCAAAAAAGCATAAGTCTCGGATATCTGAGAAATATAACAAAAAAGAAATTATTACAAAATTTTAAATTACCAAAAACAAAAATAAAACTGTTGATGGCAAGATTTCGATCTACTTTAACGACTCACTATGCGATAGGTACGTTTTTGGCCCGCATGCAAACCACTTCTACCGCCCAGCTCCATGTGAATATTAAATATTATATCAAAAAATTCCTCGACCACAGCCACTTTGCGATAATGTCGTTTATCCAAATCCTTCAAAGAAGCAAATTATAAAATGCATTTACTTGGCTTCCAATATTATACCAACCTTGGACGTCGAGGCCACATATAAGTTCACATCAGCTGGATTATCAGACAAAACTGCGTCCGGAGGCAATGGTTTTAAACATTGTGGAGTGCAAGGAGCATCCAAAAAATTGTCCGGGCGATTTGTAGTAAAGCCTTTAAATAAATCGCGGACATTTAGATAAAAACAATACTTTTGCGAACATATAACCCACCTTTAGTTTTAACCCAAAAACGAAATTTTGAACTATCCGGACGACTATGCTCTTTGCCTTCTAAAGCCTTCAAAATACGCACTTTCTTACGCATTGTTATGGTCTTGGTTTTCGAATGATCGCCATACGTTTTTATAGCCCAAGGTTGGAAGAGTTCATAGATATGCTCTTTCTCGCTTAAAGTTTTCTGCGCCTTTTCCGCAGTACTCTCACGAGTATCCTGGCCAGAATGCACCAACAATTTATCACCCACAACATCATCATCAACATCAGCATCATAATCTATATCCTGATTGGTGGTTTCTTTACAACCAGATTTTAATTCACCTAACTCTTCCTGCTCTTTAATAGAATATAGTTCACGCTTTAAATTCAAAGGATTTATTGATTCAGTAGCGCGTTGAGAAACATGTCGATATTGTTGCTGTTGTTCTTGCAAATTTAAGCTATGCGGCTGATAATGTTGCGTGGGTGAATAATTTGTTTTGCTTTCTAGCTCACGATAATCTTGAGCAGTTTTACCTGCTTCACCATGTGGAGAAGATGACATAATTCTTTTAAAATAACTTTTTTAAAATATTAAAGCAAAAGAAAAAAATATCAAAGCATCGAAGGCAAAGAAAATTTCGAGCATATCCTTAAATCAACGTCCGCACAAAACTATAAAGAAAGACAAACGTCCACTGGCTTAATTATTTTAATCATAACGTCTTAAAATCTAAAAATATCCAAACATCCTTTTCCTTAAATCTTTGAAGAAAAGCTTCAGATTTCATATTTGTTAAGTGAGTAAATTACAATTTCTTATAGAATTAGATTTGGCTGTGATCTTCACTGTAACACATTTCAGATAAAATGTATCCTACTAAAATCTATAACTTTTACTTCAGGGATATTGTAATCCACCTTCCTACTCTTGCTCTATTAGTGTAATCAAAGTGTTCCTTACTAGGTCCACATTACAAATATTTGTTTCTGTATTGTCCGAGATGATCGCCATTCTTGAGCTTTTGATCTTCAGCCCTTTCTTTACTTAAGACAGACAGGTCAACGGATGTATCTAATCTACCCCACAAGAGAAAATTGTTTGAAACCTTTTGTTCTTATATTACGTCATGTATAACATATTACTCAATAAGATCGTAGGGTAAGGAGCCATTTTTTCCGGAGCAAGTGCCGAATTCGGACGACCAAACAGTTTACTATTCTGGGTGTTTTTACTTCGCTTCTCTACAAAATAACACTTAGACAACCGCTTCTTTGGCTCAAATTTATTTTTTCCCTCACTAAGCTCAGGCTTTTTCATTGTTTTGAAAACAAAGAAAGCTGCGTCACCAAAACAACTAATGATCGGAGTGTCACGAAAAATTGATGGGGATAGGGAGATCTATAAATACCATTGTACGAACTTATTGAGTGATGTGCCGTACATTTAGGTGGACTATGTACAGTATTTGTCTCCTTATTACAAATGCCTTACATTCATTGCTGGTTAAAATAAAAATATCCAAAGACTCATTTCTGAAGCTGCCCAAAATTTGTGTACGCATGCGATGGAAATTAATGGTAAAAAATTGCGAGAAAAAGACTTGAATTGGATGATTTCAAATGAAATGAAATGGAAAAAATAACACTGAGATAATCAAGACATTTATGGGTTCTTCTATTCGTAGATTAGATGGCAAGGATAAGTATTTAACATACACTTCACAATCTATAAAAGTGGGAACCACTCAATCAATGTGTTATTAAAACACCGTTTAAACGAATTTAACATAACATTCTTTTCATATATTGTTAATAGTTTATATTATATATAATATCATAAATTATTAAAAATTTCTACTAACTCTCTCAACAAAAGTCCACCAATAATCCAAAACGTAGCTGTATGTGCTCTTTGGTTTTTTTTTTTTTTTTTTTTTTTTTGCAAAATATAATTAAAACACAAACTTAATAAATTATAAAGAAATGAAAACAAAAAAACTTAACAGAAAACAACGAAAAAAAGTTTTTTAACAAAGTATTTCTTTCATTCAAAACGAGAATGCCACGGTCTACGTTTCGAAAGCGAAATTACAAAAACTGAGGCACGGTGAACGATGACCGCAAATGTAACGATGAACAGTTAAATGATAACTGATCTTCAAATGACCAAAAATGGCTAATGGATGCTTTCATCTAAAGAGAGAAGTTTTGCTCTAAACCGGATAATTTTTGGATTAAAAAATTTCTCAATAGAAAACGCAAACAGGCTCTTGAGAAACGGAAAAAATGGCTAAGCTGAAAAGGCTCATGAAAAAAGTCATGAAAAGAAAAGACATCTACTTCGGTTATGTGGACAAGCAAAAAGGGGGTACTTTAATTCAGGCATATAAAGGAAGACGATTCATTTATCTATATAACATACTTATATACATATCTACGTACCGTTCATCTTATAGAATTAACTAATCACGTGCCTACCTCAACTCTGAGCATTTCCAAAGGTTAAGGGTGTTTTTTTCATTTTTCCTATTTTTATTGCGTTCTTGAAACGTTTCTTCTTTCTCTTTTTTCACTTTAAACAAAACTTCGCAATATGTTCGTGTGTATGATAAAAATTAACTAAAAAAAAAAAATAAAAAAAACGCATACAACCACATCCCTCGTTGTATTGTGAATTTATAGTTTGTTTATATATCTTTTTTAGACTTCGAGTATTCTCACATACACATGAAGACATTAAGTACACGTTCATACTTGTAAGTTTTCTAAAGCAAAAAAAAAACGAAAAAATGTTTAAAAAACTTTTTGTTCTGTCTGGTTTTTCAAACAAACTGTTGCGCTTTTCTTTATTTACTCTCATTCAAAAACATTCGTTCATACATATATATTTATATATGTACATATATTTAAAAAAAAAACAAAATTGGCGCCTTAAATTATGCCACTCTTTCAACGGAAAAAAATTCAAAAAACGCAAATAAAAAAGATCAAAACATAAAACAACATATACATATATATATATATATATATACGTACGTATATCTATGGAGAAAAGCAATAAAGTAAGTCACGTGGTATTGTTTGCAGGCAGTATTTTCTTGACTTGTCTAAAAATATGTTAAGTAAATACATTTATTTCTTATCTATCGTCTTAGAGAAGGGGGTTGATTTATAGTTTTCCTTACCGCACTAGGTTTTCTAGTAGCGATCTGCGCATATATGTATATATGTATATATATATATATATATAGTGTTTTCGAAATATTTTATAACGTCATTCTCTCTGATTGGCTCTCCTTTGCTTATCAAGGTTAGGGTACAAACTATCCCTTTTGCGATGTTCTTGTATGAAGTCGTAGATAACCATTTCTTTTTTGAAAAGTCTTCAAACATTCAAAAAAGGTATGAAAACTTCTCACATTTTTATTGATGTATATGTGTGTATATATAAATATATATATATATGTATATATGTGTGTGCTCTGAAAATGATTGCAAATATCTAATGTATAACGTATTTCGAAGAAATTTTTTTTTTCCGTAAGACGGTCAATATAATTCCTACGCGTGTAACAAGCTCATGGTTAGAAAAAAGTTAAGAAAGAAATACGGATAAGGACCGCACGCAGATTGATGGACATTTACGCAATCGGTGATCGTTATGTTTCTACCCTTTGAGAGTCCACTACGGCTATGACGAAATGCGGCGAAAGCACACCGAGATTTGAATCCTGCAAAAATTAACTTAGTTGTAGTCAAAATTTATAAAATTCTTATGTTCATTTACTTGTCCAAATTGATCTGGTAGTCAAAAAACGCCTTATCGCCTCAACAGAGCAAGAAATAAACAAATTATAGGACAATTTCAATATCTCCCCATTCAGGCATTTTTTTTTTTTGCGATTAGGTCTAAACTTCTGTCACGTAGGTTGAACGGAGAACAATGTATATATGTATTACAGGCAACTTATTTTCCGGAACAGAAATTTGATGTATTTATTAAATGAATCGGCATACTTTCATTTAGGATGCATTAATCATAATACCAGCATTACTATCGGCATCTCAGCGGCTTCCATCAACGAAAAGAGCCCACAGTGAAACCAATTTATTAATTCTAATACACGTTACATTTTCACACCGTTGATGTTCTTCTTCCGTAGTAAACCCCTACTATTTTCACCAAAATCAAAGTTGTGATGTCCTGAGATGAATCTACATAATCCACTAATGGGTGTGTGTCTCTCTTCTTCTTAAGCAGTACTGTAGGATACTAAATGAAACTGTGACTTCTATATTTCAAAGCCTTATACCTTAACGCATTACAGCGTGCACGATATAGTTTCTTGGAACTTTGAATAGGTGCAACTCTGTGTCAAAAAGACGCCATTGGAAAACTTTTTTGCTTCATTCGGAGAACAGTGCTGCTTAATAATGAAGAGCGGAAGCGATACGACGTCCAAATGCTAAATAACCATGATGCAGACTAGACCGACCATCAACAAGGACGATAAAGCTCAATACCCATGGTGGGCAAATTTGGGGTGGTCAGCTGCGCGTGGCATGTTACGGTCTGTCCCTACTAAATGAAACCGTCATTAAAAAGTGCGATCAGCGATAATTGATGTATCTGCGACAAAGAGTGGACGCGATATGCGAGAAATGATTATATCATGAGCTTTCAGTATGAAATAATTCGGCCCCTTATAGGAAAATTCGTTTAATGAAGTGTTTGCAGTTCTAACCTGGAATGCTGTACCCTTCCCACTCTTATCAGCAGACACTAGTCCTTTTAGTTAACACGGGCTTCAACACATGATTTATTATTTGCTTGAATGATGCTTCCATTCTTATGACGATATCAACATCATAGGTTCTATTGGTGATATCCTACAAAGACCAATATATCGTCTGTCAATAACTAATTTTTCCATTTTCTCACCAAACGAGTGTGTATTGTTTAAAAAAAGTCGAAGTCATATTCACACACTTAATGCGTTCTTCACATTCTCAGTCACACCACATAGCATTCAAGTCCATGGAATAGAAGGCGAATCTTTTGCTCAAATAGGACGAAATTTCAAAGCAAAACGTACAAGTACTGCAGTGGTGGAATTTATCACTTAAGCTCAATTTGCTAAATCTCAGTCTTTGCAGAAACTTGTATTTTTTTGTTATCGTTTGCATATCTTTGACAATTTAACAAAGGCATGTGTAGAGTTTTTAATAGAATGTCCTTTTAACATTTGGACGGCCGACTACATTTGCTTATTGAAAGTAAAAAAAATTCCCGGCAAAACTGGAAATTTAATACCAAAAAAAAAAAAAAAAAAAAAAAAAAATCTTAAAAGAAAAAGAACGATTGTACGGGTACTTTGCAATGCAGCATCAGCTAAACCGAAGGACAATATAAAATGACGCCAGATTGTAACTCAACAGCAAACTGACCGATTCTGACCATCATTACGCAAATACGAAGTAAACAGGTTTCATCTTATGAAAGGGTTGCTTTTATGTCTTCGAACGTATTCTTGATATGTTAAAGTTCATTTAAGATAGTAC